CAGCCCGATGGTGGCCTGCGAGAGGGGCGGAGCCTCAGTCTCCCATCCCTCCCGGCGCCCTGCAGCTCCCAGGCGACCCCTGGATTGCACCCTGCTCCCCCGGGGCTGCTCGGGGTGGGGCCCCGTCTTGGGGACCACGGTCTGCAGCCGTGGGTCATCTCACCTGACGCTTAAGAAGCCTAAAGAAGTCACATGAGCAGCAGGGGATGGTGGCGCACACCTGTCATCCACCACTCAAGAGGCTGAGGCAGGAGGACCTCCAGCGCAAGGCCAGCCTGGCCAAGGACCCATCCCCAGGGGTTAAATAGGGTGTGGGCAGAGCAGATGACACGGTCGGGAACCTGTCACTCGTCACCCCGCTGCCAGCACTGTTCCCCACCCCCTGGAAAGCAGCAGGCACCAAGGCCAGTCCCACACTGCCACATTTTTCTTGGGTGATTCTTTGTCTTTAATTCTTTCTGTGGTACTAGGAATGGTACCCAGGACCTGTCTCATGCTAGAAAAGCATCTGGCCCTAAGCTACATCCCCAGCCTTTTCATTCTTTTTGACACCGGTACTTCTAAGTGGCCTGGCCTAGACATGGAGCTGCAATCCTCCTGCCTCAGCCTCCAGGACAGCTGGACCAGACAGATTACAGGTGTGCACCGCTGCACCTAGCTAGATTTCCTTTTCTTTTTCAATTTAGTGTTAAATCACATGGCATCTTTGTTTCTTTGAGATAGGGTCTCCCTATGTGGTCCAGGCTGGCCTTGAACTTGGTGCAATCCTCCCACTTCAGCCTCCTGAGTGTCAGGATTACAGGTGTGCGCCACCACGCCCGCTCGAGGAAACCAGCTCGCAAAGCCTGACTGGGACCCCACTCAGATGTCACAAGACCGGACCACCCCACCCCATGCCTCCCCTGGTCCAGCCCCAGCCCCACCCGCGCCCCGTCTGTCCCCACCTTGACCAGCGGCCACTGGTTGGGCTGGTTCAGCAGCTTCACGATGGCCGGGATGCCGTAGTTGAGGCGCACGGAGTTCTGTGCCATCTCAGCCTCGGGGTGGCGGCTGGTGAGGTGGCGAAGGGCGCACACGGCAGGCTCGGCGATGTCGTCCTTGTCACCGGCGCGCAGGATGGCGTGGATGAGCGCCTCCACGCCGCTGTTCTGCGTCACCAGCGTCTTGTTCTTGCTGTTGTTGCAGGTCAGGTTGGACAGCGTGCCCGTGGCGCAGGTGAGCACGTTCACGTCGTCCACGCTGAGCTGGTTCACCAGGGTCTTCAGCACGCCCTCCAGGCCCTCCTGGGGACACAGCGCGGGCGCGGTGGGACCCAGGGCCCAGCACAGGGCTACACCCTCCCGCCCCTGTTATTTTTTATTTCGAAACAGGGTCTAAATTGTCCTGACTGAGCTCACACTGCGGTCCTCCTGCCTTAGGCGAGCTCCGCCAGGCCCAGCTCACGCGCACCTTGGAGAGGCCAGGGGTGCGGGCGAGGGCTCGGTGTCAGCGCCTCTCCCCTTCCCGGGCCCGGCCTAGGGGCCCCAAGCCAGGTCGACTTTCGGAAGAACCCCGGACGGGAGCCTCGCGGC